AGTATGGTTCCATAACGTATGCTTGCGAGGTATACGATAATCTTTTTGCCAGAATAACTGATACAAATTCTACCATACTGGCTGAAACTTCCCAACAATTGAGAGCCATTTTTTTCTTTTTTGTTAACGTGCAGAGCTTTTTGTGTCATGTATTAGCAGAAGAGAAGAAATAGGCTACAACAAGTTTAAGAGTTCAGCACATTTCTTTAGGAGAGAAGAAATAGAACCACTGACGGGCATACTTGCAAAGCACAAAAACAACACAACCCCTAGGAGAGAACCATTTCTTTCAACTGGCTAAAGAGGTTCGTCAACGACCATTTTATATCAGTGACAAATAATATGGAACGGATGGAATATATAAAAGGCACACAGTAGGATTTTTTTCTGACTGTTTTTCCGGCCAAAAAAGAAGACAAATTCTACCTGCGCAACACAAGTTCACTACATATGAGTTTAATTTGATTCTGGAATTAACTCTGTGACATTGTATATGTATCTGGTTTCAATATTATAGAGAGGCACTAATGGTCTCAATGATTGTGCTGAAGAACCGCGGGCACACGGTCAAAGTACGGAGACGGACGAGAGAATGGTCGCGACCCAAAAGCAATCGAGGAGGTCTCCAAAGGACTACAAGTGGGCACAGTGATGACTTGTATAATTTACTCCTTCTAGTCCTTTGCCTCAAGGTTGGAAATTCATAAAAGTATCCTTCTCCTATTTTGGAAATTCAGAAGTGTGTTTTCCCCTCTTCGACTTATTGAGTATACACCTTGGAGAGATCATAGGAAAACCAGCAGCGGCTACTATCAGGCGTTCTGCAGTAGGAACGAACCCCAATTTACAAGTTTCATCACCCTGAACGAACATATAACATACATCTTAGACATGCCCTTCCACTGTCAACAACATCCTGCATCACAGATACGAAAAGAGAACACCTCCTCTACAAGAAAATCTTTTCTCCCGTCGGCGGCGCCGCCGGTCTGCTTCATCTCCGATGGCCTATAGGCCATGGAGGTGCAGAGCATCTCGGCCTCCGCCGGCGGGAGGGGCCCCGTTCTTGTTATTCTTAGATTCGACGTCTTGGTTGGGGCTGTGTGGCAGTGGCGATGTTCCTTAGTAGGAATAATGTCTCCCACGCCCTATCCCCGTTCCGATGGTGTCTCAAGCATCGTCGGAGGACGTGTAGAGATTTATCTCCGTCGGATCTCGTGGGATTCGGTCGGTGCTGGTCTTCGGTAGATCTATTTGGATCCAATCTTCATTCGTCTTCGTTTGAGTGTTTACAGGTTTGACCCTTTTGATCTACGTCTTTCTTCATCGGTGATGGTTGCTACTCTGGTGCACTGGTCCTATGGGGTCTTAGCCAGTGGCGGAGGCAGGGGGTGCT